GTTTGGTGATTTCTGAATCTGTAACATCGTTTGTGTTTTGAGAAAGGTTTTCGTTTGTATCTTGAAGATCCGCTGTCGCCATGTTGATAGTGAGAAATTTCACACGAAATATCTCGATGAATACGTTGCGAGACAACTCCAATTTTATATTAGAAGGATCACCAAGAAATTAGAAATAATTTGATATATAGTTTATCAGAAAACTTATAATTTAAAAGCGAGAAAATGTTGAAAGTCTCGAGAGCCGAAAAGAGTTATGCTGCGCGATGTAACCTGATACTCGAGAGATGTCAGAACTTGTACATGTCTTTCTCTTGAACATCTTTAAGATGATCGATCTTTCTCAAGCCGGACATTTCAAAAACATCTTTGTATTTTTCCAAGTCCACATAGTTTAAAAAAACTGTGATATCTTCATATAAGCATATTTAATATTGTTAGAAATGTCATATATTTGTTCTGCCATCTTGATTTATTGAAGTGGTACAAGAGCAGTACTTCATGTTTCATTGATAACGGTTCAGGTGTTCCGCTGACCAAAAATTCCAAACACACATTAAATGAAGTGTATTCAATGAGCAACAGAGAATGAGTAAAATGTCAACCGAAAACTGCAAAATCACTGATACAAAGAAACTGAGCTTTTCCGAGAAACGAATCAACAACAGATCAGAAAGCACCTTATCGCCTAAAGTAAGAAAATCGCTCCAAACTTGCCGTGTAAATGAGAACGTGGAGAAACTCGAAGGACCTCTCATCTTTCAAAAAAAATGTCTTGGTAAAAGTCGAACACTGGAAGGATTATTGTACATTCTCCGACAATTGCTGGCAAAATGTGATTGGGACAAAACGTACGGCTATCAGCCATATGAGGATGCATATGGTATATATTGCGATTTTGTCCAGCGACAAGTAGAAGACAAAGAGTTTAAAGATCATCTTTTGCACAACGAGCATGGCCTTTGCGTTTATGTGTTAACTTTATTTGGCAAACGTTTCGTTATTTTACAGAATGACACTGTGGACTTAAGTAATTTTCTCTGTGAACTGGAGCGCCTTGAATCTGAAGATAAAGAAAGTTTCTCAAGATTTGATTTAAATGCTGATACTCTTAAACACGTTTTGCAGTCAATGGACACCGAGTATGACAAGTCTGTTCTGAAGGCTATGATTTTTGCAATATCGTCACAGAGGAAAGTTTATGAACTTGGAATAAAACCTGAGAATGCTGTGCATTTTCTGGCAAAAGCTGTCTTATGTTAAGATTCAGTATAGATAGATATTTATTATTATTAGTATGATTTGAGGGCGAGTTAAAATCGTTTGGTAGGTAATATAATCGCATGTTAAACTATCAAAATTTTCAGACATGTAGCTCTCATAATTTGGACAGTTTGAAATTCTGTAGTTGGTATCAAAAGGGTTAAATTTGAGTTGTGTTAGTCTATCCATATCCTCATCGCTAGGAATTCGATTGAAATCACCAAGAATAAAATTCAATTCTAAATCGTCAATTAAGTAAAAGGGAAGCGCGCAACTATTGTGCACTGAACCGAAGATATGAACATACAAAGTCGTCATCCTCTCGCGCAGTTATACGGCATTCTTCGTATTGCACTCCGCTCGTGTTATTGACAAAACCATTTTATTGAGTACCCGTTGAAGACATGAACTTTTACAAAGTCGTCATCCGCTCACGCAACTAGTTACATTGATTATTGTACTCGTGTTTATATAGAAAAACCATTTTATTGTACTCGCGTGTTATTGATACGATCCGCTTCAATGATATTGACTAAAACGTTTGTGCACTGAACCGAAGATATGATACAAAGTCGTCATCGTCTCGCGCAGTTATACGGCATTCTTCGTATTGCACTTCGCTCGTGTTATTGGCAAAACCATTTTATTGAGAACTCGTGTTATTTACAAAGCCACTTGTTATATAGCTAGCGTGAACACCATGGTGCTGAAACCGTTTAAGTAGGTTCTTTTAATTTTAAACTCGTTTACACTATAGAGTTTTTGTCACGAAATACAATTGTTGTATGAATGTTGTTGAAGTTGATTTTTGTTCGTCGCTATATAACAAAACACTTAATGCCTGTTCCCTCGGGAAATAGTTAGTTTTGTTTTCCCTCGAATCTTAATGTTTCCCTCGACTTCGTCTCGGGAAACATTGAGATTCTCGGGAAAACAAAACTATTTCCCTCGGGAGCAGACATTAAGTGTATATTATTGAGTACTCGTGTTATTTACAAAACCATTTATAGACAACAGCGGAACTAACCGTAGATAACCTACTTTAGCTTGCAATTTATATGCTCGCAATGCATTACATCGATACGTCATCAATATGTTACCACCTGTCTGTTTGCGACATCCACGGACGTATGTCCTGACAATGCAGCTACTGATTGAAAATCAGTAGATGCAAAATTGTCGTAATATGTTTGAAGGGTAGCCGTCACGAACGCTTTAAAATCCTGCTGTATTTTGGCTGATGAAAATTGATTAAAAGTCCCAAAATCATGTTTAGGTAATTTCACGAAAAATAAGAGGAGCTGCGACTTTTGAACTATATTTTTCAAAATAGCTCACTCAGTGGATACTATGGGTAAAATAAAAGGAATTTCGAATTTTCCAATTTGTCGCCCAATTCTCGAGATTTACGGACACTCACTCTTAACAACTTTGGAAGCATGACAGTTCTTTAGACTTCTCTGCCAGGAATTGCATTTGACGTCCTGGTATAGGAACATTCAAAACCTGCCCGAAAATTTAGACAAAACCTGTTAAAAATGTTGCCTTCAACCAGGTCTCCTACAGAGAGGTTCTGAAATACTAGAAAATTCTATAGTGAAGATTTTTGTCAATAATTTCCAGGCAGCCGTACTGCGGACATTTCCCACACAAATCTTTAATTAAGGGAGAAAGTCTATCAGTTCACATACATATATTTTTAATTGATTTTGACTATACCTTTATTGACAAGCAATTAACATCTTCCGATAGCGTCACGAAATGGCGGTCATCAGCGGCGATTGCAACATTTTGTGGAACTCCCTTGAGACCTATTGACGGATAAGTAAAATATATTAGAGACCTCAGACTGACGTTCGAAATTTTTATTTCCGATCTGAGCTTTGAGATTAGACTCCAGAAGTAATGAATTTTGTGGAGATTATGGTTCAAGTACAAACTCTGAGATGTTTTTGAGTATTTTTGTCTGGCCGCCACGATAGCTACTACAACAATATATCGCTGTCCAACTACATGCTAGTACTCAAATTACTCTCTCAAATTTTCTTTGTTGACTCGTACAGTCGAGTAAAATTTAAACTTTGTCAAGTTTTCTATGACGAGTACCTTGTTCAAAAGATAACATACTAGCTTTTGAACATCTGTAATTGTCAAACAAAGTTTGCCATAGAAAGCTTCCTCATCTGGAACCGGCTTGAAGGAATATGTTAAGTTTTCTCACAATTAAAGTGGGAAGCCCGCTCAAATGGAACAATTTTGACTACCTGTCAAAGTAAAGCATTCCTTTCCCGCATGGCAGTCCCAAACTTTCAAAGTACCATCCCAGGAAGCGGAAACACATCTGGAGCCATCACGTGTCACTGCAATGTCACTGACTTCTTCCGAATGACCACGTGACCTGTCTTGTTTCATATGGACACTAGTACCCAGATTCCACACTCTGAAAGTACCATCATCCGATCCAGACAATGCCTTGGAACCATCATCAATCACGGTCACAGAGCTGAAATGTAACATCATATCAACCTTATTACAAATGAAGTAAAGTCGACCTGAACTAAAGTCACTTCATTTAAGACTGGATTGCTCTTTCATTTCTACACTGTACTAGCTAGTTCAGTAAAGGTAATTTCCAATTAGTCCAGCGGTACTACAGAAGGAAATCAGATTGTGTTAATCTTTATTCTTACTACATGAGGAAACCAACCAAAGTACCCAAAAAGTCTACAGTGGTGGGGTGAAATTATAATTTGACAACGGCATATGGGACATTCAGCTAGCAGGAAGGCGACGCAATTTCCGTTTCGTACACCGCCCTCGTCACCAGTAACAATCGGCGTGTCATTATTTCAGCATGCGTCACATCCGCTGAATATAAAATGAGATCTTCACCTTGCGCCCCAAAGTGTTAACACGACACGAACACGAACGTGTTAACACGAACAGACACGAACTTTGTTATAAAGTTCAGCGATGACAGCCCTGGCAGTTAAGCTTCAGTTGTGTGATGCAGGCACGTCGCAGAGAGGGTGTAACAAATAATAAGTTCAAAAGTTGGTCAAAATGGAAAATGTTTGGTCTCTTTTTAAACGAAATTAGAAAAGATAAGAGTGCGTATCGAAAACTAAATTACATATATATATATATATATATATATATATATATATATATATATATATATATATATATATATATATATATATATATATATATATATATATATATATATAAGTTTAAGCATGCAAAATAAATAAAAGAATGTGATCTACTGGTTTACAAGATTGCCGTGTGGGAGTTCATCTATACTATTATAATACTTGTTTGCAGCTTTCCGGAACTGAGAAAACGATTGGAATTCTTATATTTTCGGGAAGGCTATTCCACAGTACTACTCCACTGTACTGAAAGCTTCGCTTCAGATAATTAGTTCGTGGCTTGGGTAGATTTAATTTCATTTCAAAGTTCCTAAGATTATATTCTGAGCCACGAACTGAAAAAAGATTTTGTAGATAGGTAGGTGTGTCACCTTTGAGTGTTTTGAAGATCAAGCCAGCTTTAAGTTTATTGCGTCTCAACGATAAGTTATCCAAGTGTAAAGTATCAAGAAGCACAGTAGCATTAGTGTCATAGCTGGACCTCGTAATGACCCTGACCGCCCGGTTCTGTAATTTTTGTAGTTTAGAACTTAGCGTTTCGCCAAGACCATCCCAGACCGAGCAGCAGTAGTCAAAATGAGGTTGAATCAGTGCTTGGTATACTTGGATAGCCGTGTTCGTTGAAATGCAGGATCTTATACGTTTTAAAGCCCCTATGGCTGAAGCAATTTTTTTACATAGTTTATCAGTATGCTCAGACCACATAAGGTGATTATCAAGATGGACACCCAGAGATTTTACCGAAGTAACTTGGTTGACCATATTACCGTTTATCTCAATATCTATTTCATTATTTAGTGTTTTTATTCTCTGTCTAGATCCAACTACCACGAATTCTGTTTTTACAATATTTAAGCTTAGTTTATTAGTGGTTAGCCAATCGCTTAGACCTTTCAAATCGGTGGTAATGACATTTTGGAGCACTTTGGCTGGGTCGGACGCATAACTAGATAGATAGATAGTTTAATAGATAGATAGTTTAATAGATTTTACATATTGCGAACATTCTTGCAGTTGTATGATCAAGACAGTTCGGTAAATCATTAATGTAGATGAGGAATAGCAATGGCCCTAGACTGCTACCTTGAGTGAAACCGCAGGCCACTGGCACAGAATCTGACAGTTGACCGTTTACCCGGCACTTTTGAGTTCTATCAGTGAGATATGAATGAAACCAGGTTAGACTGGTTTCGTCAATACCATAATTTTTAAGCTTTTGCAGGATAATTTGATGATCGATCGTATCAAAAGCTTTCTTTAAATCAATAAATACAACTCCGTTAATTAGGCCATTGTCAATATTCATGGACCAGTCGCTTGTGGCTTCTAGCAACGCTGTTAGGGTACTATGAAACGGTCGAAACCCATATTGGCATGTGTTCAGCAAATTATTTGAATCAAGATACCCATGTAGTTGATCGAAAATGATTTTTTCAAAAATTTTAGCAACACATGGAATAATTGATATAGGCCGATAGTTGCCTGGGTTATTTCTTGTGCCACTTTTAAATACTGGCGTTACTCTCTTGCCTTCCATTCATACGGGAATATTCCGGTATTAATAGATGCAGTGAATATTCCTGTTAACGAGGGTGCAATAACACTTGCAGCTATCTATAGGAATTTGTTTGGTATATTGTCCAAACCAGCTGACTTCTTATCATCTAATGTAGTCAGCAGTTGATAAACTGTGTTAACGGAGGGAGTTTTGAGAGAGAAAGATTTATCAGTTGGTTTAAGATAAAATACTGGATCACGCACAGGAGCAGGAATATCGGAAGCAAGTCTTTCACCAATACCTGAGAAGTAGCTGTTAAATGTTTCAGCTATTTCTTCAGGTGCAGTTATTTCTCGCTCTTCAAAATCTAATTGTGTTATCTTTTTAGTTTTGCTTACATTTCTAGAGCTTAGTTCATTTATAAGGTTCCATGTTTTTTTCATGTTGCCTTTACTCGATTCAAGATTATTCTTATAATAAGCTTGTTTAGTTTTTTTTAATTTCATTATTAATGTGATTTCGAGTTTGTCGATATTGGTGCCAGATTTTAAGATCATTGGATGTAACAGCTTTCTTTTTTAGGTAATCTCGGTTAAATATCTGGCGTCTTAAATCTTTTGTAATCCAGGGAGATTTTCTATTTCTAATTCTCCTGGATCTAAGTGGTGCGTGCTTATTTATGGTTTTCATGAGCATTTTTTTCCAGACATCAAACATTTCGTTAAGGTCCTGGGAGCAATAGACACTATCCCAATGGTTTAGTTCAAGGTCTCTTAGAAACAATTCTCTGTTGAAGTTCTTCATTGTTCTATCATCTATCGTTCTGGGGCTCCCTCGTATATAGTTAGCCTTACGTATCATATATATTAATGAATGGTCACTAATAGATACGTGTATGACACCAGACTTCACAATATTTACAGGTGTATTGGTTAGGCATAAATCGATCAGGGTGCTAGATGTAGCAGTAATTCTTGTCGGTTCGTTTATTAATTGTTCGACATCGTATATATCAAGTATATATTTCTTTTACTTTATTCTTGCTCGGTGACTCAGTTGTTGGGGTAAAATCAACATTTAAATCACCAAGCAGAAAATACTCTAAATTTTCAGCATCGAACGATCCAATCATTTGCTCGAATTCGGCAAAGTAACTATAGTAGGTAAATCTGGAGGTCTATACCATGTACTAACTAGGATAGACTTAGATCGTGGTTTCTTAATTTCTACAACTAGATTTTCGAGAGTTTCAGATTGTAGATTATGTCGTATTTTGTAATTAATATTACTTCTAATGTAAATGCAAATGCCGCCACCGTGACGGCCATTTGTACGTCGATCTCTTCGAATGATTTCAAAATTTGGTATATGGATTTCATTGTCATTAATTGATGAATCAAGTTTGGTCTCATTAATACATAATATGTCTACTTTATTATTACTCATAAATACTCGTAATTCATCTATATGGGCAAATAAACTATTTATATTCAAACATGCCATAGACATGCCCCGATGAAATGGTATTTTTTCGAAATTATATAATGAGATATTTGAGTAATTTGATTCGTTTGACTCACCCAAGGTTATCGACGATTGGTCATCTATACTTGGCTGTATTTCAGTATTAGCTACAGGCTCCCACACGGCGTTGTCCTAATGTTTCCTATTATAAATAAAATCAGTAAAAGTGCGTGCCATCTTGATTGTTCCCACTTTATTTAGATGGATTCTACTTTGGTTTAAATCCTCTGGTGTAATGTTCGACATGTTCGTGTGATCGATATATTTCCAATGTTTCTGAATGCAGGTTTGTTTGAAAATGTCAGGCCCAGAAAGTGCATTTTCAGCTAAGGTAACCATGCATGTGTATATTGCCTAATGATGGGCAGATATATTTCTGCGAAACACATGTCTAATTGAAAAATTAGTAAAGATTCTTGCCGATTTCACATATTGTGAAACAACAACCACACAATTATATTTCAGCCTTGCATGAACGATCAGTATATTCAAACCTTGCATGCAACGATAGCATGGCTAACTGAGCATACGATTCTAAGTATTTGTATAGTATTGGTGTACCAATTTCCCAAACCAAGCACGAAAGGGCAAGCCACCTCCCCCTGTCCCGCGCTATTGCGGTCCTTGAGAATTTGTAGAAAACTAGCTCTATAGGTTTTTAAAAATAAAAATTAATGCAAATATAAAACATATCAAGAAGTTCAATAGCTTTCTGTCATGCCTTCAGTTGGTGCGGATAAGTGGACCAATAAGATAGTTGGTCAGGTAGTAATATTTCAAAAATTGTTGCGCGGTCTCTGATTCTACTACGGGAAATTTTGTATTTTGGTTTACATTGTCAACTAACATTCAGTTGTTCCATAACGAATTTGATGGAGTGAAATCATTCAAAAGTAGATCAAAATGTTCGCCAAAGCTTAGTCAAAGTATCAGGACATTGCCCCAATGTTAAGCATTCGCGACGTCCCTGGTGATGCTCTCACAAGTACATCGATGTGAACTCGGTTGCTGTCCTGTTGATTTCATATGGATTTATCATATATGTTTATAAGAAACCCAGTTTAATGAATTTTATGCTTATATTTGTTCAGTCGCAAAAAAGGGTCCAAACTTTCGAAGTGTGAAATTTTGTAACAAATTTCGTAGGAAATATGCGCCGGGGCCACAATTCGCGAGACACCACAATACTGCAAATACTCGGTTGAGAATTTCAACAAGTCAGACGAACATAATTTCAAATTATGCGGAAGTGCACGTACACCACTACACGGGACATATTAGCGGAACGTATCAGCCGAAAGTTTAAATGAATGGGTGAACATTTCATTTGATATTCATCGAATGTGACGCCGGCTGAAAGTGGTGACATCGATTGTTACTGGTGACCCTGGCGATGTACGAAATGGAAAGTTGCGACGGCTATTAATACAATGAAATTTATGATTAGATTGTAAAGAAACAAATAATTAAGAGTCCATTGGCAATTCTAGACGTCGTCCTCACTTTTAAACAATAGCGAGATTTATATATGACTTCCACCGGCATATACGTGTAATCACTATACCCGATTAACCAATCACACGCGTACTTAGTCAGTGGTAGTCGTACTGGAAGTCAAATCTAAGCCTCACCAGTAGAAAATTAATTATTTTTAGATGTTGTATACAACGCGCGAGATGCGGAACTCGGTAAACTGGCTTAGTAGAATTATTCTCAACTATAAACCTCTGACGTATTTTTTTAAAACTTCATTAAATTCATACAACGCATAATAAATGACAAACTAAGTTTTCATTAAAGTTATTTATTTGAAGGATTTTGTTTTTGGCGTGTTCGCTCCGTTGCCCTCTTATATGCTGAAGTTTCTACTCGGAGAATGGTACCGCAGTCACAGAGGTGCTAAAGTGTGTGAACCCACCTGATAGTGTCGCCGTGGCCTTCAAAACAGGAGAGTAATTCTCCTTTGTGGAAGCACCACAGTCTCACAATGTTATCGTAGCTCCCGGAGATAATATGCTTTGCATTAGCGACACAACAGGTTACATCGTCACAATCACTGTCACTGAGGGTACGAATTTCTTGATATGTATTAACATCCCAAATTTTTAAAGTTCCATCCGATGACACAAGTCCTTGATTGTCATTTCCTAAATCTAAAAGAGAATAGTAAGAGATTAACTAGCGTAGAGGCGGTAGATCCGATTTGTCATGATCAACTTGGGTAAAGGAAGTTCGTCTGATAGATCTGTGCCGACTGTGCGTTCTCCAATCCGAGTTAGTGTCTTCAATTTTCCATCTTCGCGTCGTGCTAATTGGAGGAATCAGCTAACCACCGTTATCCACTTCATACTGAAACAAACTAAGCTGATATGCTAAAAGATATAACCAACCACCTGTAACATCAGCTAAAAGATGCCTGTTGCGATGTAACGATACTTAGCCTCAAACAGTACTCAATTTAGTATAAAAACAGTGAGAATAAACTCTAATATCAAATACCTATATGAGTTTGTTTAGGCTCTTGTCTACCCTACACTGATCTCAATAATCCACTGGTTGTCTGTGCGCGTGTGTCCCACGTTTCGCATGTAAGAGTCATATCTCTTCTCAACATCCTCCCTCCACTGCTGAACATGCAATTGCAGTGCGATTTAACTATTTTAACTCCTTTATAGTCCCTAATATCAATGCTCAAAATTAAGGTTCCGAGAAAACTATACTCTCAGAGGGACAATTTATGAATGGGTCTGACCATAGACAACCCAAAAGGCAAATTCCTCGAATTGTACTGGCAGGATCGCCAAATGTTGCGATGTAAACAGGTGGGAAATTTGTCGTCGCTGACCAAAAAATCGCGGACAGAAACAAAGCTCATTGTATTTACATTCAAAACAAAGCAGAAAGTTAGCAAGAAGCTGTTTTAGCTAAGGTTTTTTTTCAACGATTTACAAATTAGCAGTTATTTTTTTAAAAATCCATCATGAAGTCTTTGTTTTGGGATCATTTATTTTAGGGATCATTTATTTTTGTAATCAAAGGATTGGAAGAAGTGAATATGGCAACGTGAACATGGAAGCATATACACGATACCGTATACGCGAGCTATGGCTTGCTTAAAACCGTAATAAACGAAGAAAACGTGATATGACAATAGAATGTAAGTTGAAATTTATTTGATATTACTCAAATTTCCCATCCTATGTTTCTGAATGTAACTTCAGCGGTCTGAGTTCGAAATACAAGCTCGCGAAATTTGACAAATTTTGAAAATATGTAAAAATAGCTTCACCTTGAATTGTATTTTTTTAAAAATAGCCTGTGGCCTCAATTTCAAATAAAGATAAATGAAAAGAAAAACCTTTTCACCATTTGCAAGTATCAAACATATCGTCTGGAAAATAGGGGCTCACAATATATTAGCTAAGTCTTTGAGAGCTAGTTGCTTTGCACGTGTTGTGGCCAAATTTTTGCCAAGAATTAAAGGCCGAAAAGTGAACTTCGGTCATGAAAACCGCCTTGAGAAGGTCTAGTTTGAAAATTTAGCTCTTAATTTCCATTCCATGAGCATATTATGGTTACACGTAAATATTTTTGTACTTGATGAGATTCAAAATTTGTTGTATATTCAAGCCCGGCTTCAGTGTAATTTTGGTGATTACCGGAAAAGAAATGAAAATATTTAAAAAACTGGCCGTGGCCTCACGATAAAACTTTCTAAATATGTTCTCTGTTTCATGTATTTTTATTTGATATCTTAAGTATAAGCGTAAAAATAGGGGCTCATACAGTTTGCGAAGTTATAAAATGCATGACTTGTCTCTATTTTCATGTAAACATTCGAAATGTTTCGACAGCAAAGCAGCAACTGTTTCAGATCGAATGCACACGGACAGCACACCAGGGACAATGGCAGGGTACTAAAATATAACACGTCACTATAAAAATTCTGTATGATTAATTTAGACCATGTCCATTTTCAACATAAAACAGTAATTTAATTTGTACCAAACATTTGGCAATATTTACACAATTGCGCCTTTTTGTAAACACGCGTTGCGTGTATTCCACGCAATTACGTGGCTCATTTTGCTCGCGCATGCTCAGACAAATTTCCCACCTGTTTGCGATGTAGCGATACTTAGCCTCGAAAAGTACTTGATTTAGTATAAAAACAGTGAAAATAAACTTTAATATCAAACTTTAATATCATTTCCCAGAGTATTGTTGGGCCAAACGACGATGACGCAAGCATTGTTTTACTGTGTGACACAGCCAAACACTGCACTCCACCTACACATTTTTGGTGTCCTAGTACTTTCAATTCTTTGCCTGTTTAAATAGAAAGATAGATTACAAGTATTCAAAAAGGGTAGACAGATGCCCAGACACTGCAAGTATTGGATCTACAAATAGTGGTGAAGAAGTGCTAATATGTCATCACAAAAATCATTCGAAAAGTTGAACGACTTTTTATTAGTTTCTAATATTCCTCCCATTCAAAGACGATGGATGAGCTGGGATGAAAGTTGAAATAAGTGAGAAAACAAGGTAGCGATATACAAGGAGAGGTGCTGAAATTCTAGCTGCTGTTCTTCAAACCATATCTCCTGAAAATGCTGGATCGATTTGGCAGGCTGTATCGTCATCTTCTACAATCAATAAGCTTTTTGGTATAAGTGAATTAAGTTACAATGGCTGACCAACGTTATTTAAATGTTTTAGCTGAATCATATAAGAATGCGTCGAGCTGGGAAACCCGCAAGCAAATCTTATCTATAGTGACTGATTTAGCAAGCTATTCTGTTATCTCATCCTTCATTTCAGGAATTACTAAATACAGATACACGGCAGCAAATTTACATCGTTTGGAGTTCGGTCGCGGTGTTCCAGTTCCTGCCCAAACATCCGTTCGATTTAAAACAGCTCGACCACTTCCTATCATTTATAACTAGCCCACATTTGGTTCAAGATCTTCCTTTTGGTCAAAAGCACCTCACGCTTTCATCTGGCAAAATCTTAGAAGTACTTAATGTGATACGTACAATGATACCACGACGGATTGTAGAACAGTACAGTAGATACTGCGAAGAAACTAATTTTCAACCATTTAGCGAAAGTGCAATGGTTCGCGTACTATCAGAGTGCAGTGTGTCTGTCAGAAAATCACGTCAAGGTCTTGATTATTTCGCTGCAGATGGATCACGGGCCTTTGACGAGCTATTGGCACTAATTCCCAAGCTTGTTGAATATTGTGCTACGAATAGGGAATGGGAAGTGAAAACAGCAGAAAATCTAAAGACAGCCAGACTTAATTTACTTGAAAGGAGATTATAAGGTGCATGCACTAGACAAAAATTATTACTTACATTCCTCATAAGGAACTGCTCAAGAAGCTCGTAACAGGAGATTGGGTCTTAGGCATTCCGCTAATTTGAAACTGAAAACGTCCCATAATACAGCATTCACGTTCCCCCACCGAAAAACGATTTTGTTTCCCGGCCCTCTTACTACTGTATACCAGTGGATTAAACAGGAAAAATAGGGAGTCACCCATCCTATTTGTGGCCAAAAAGGGGTGGGCCAGGAAACGAAATGCACCATGCCAAAGAGGGTTTGCCAGCCACCTATTGTACTTTATAGACCAATATTTATTTTTTAAATCATTTTCCCGCCAGGTGCATCTTGACAATGCTGATGAAGTAGCAGATCACAGTTTAGACAATGCTGATGAAGTAGCAGATCACTGACTTCCAGGAAAAATGTAACAACAAACACCTTGCCGTTTGCAAGCAGTGCCTGGCTCTTGAAGAAACTTTGAAAGACGTCGAAGGATGCTTCAAAGCGGCAGAGTTTCCATCCGTTGATGAGAGAGATGACCTGCACTACACTGTACGATCAGCCGTGCTTGCCATCAATTCATGGAAGTGCCACATACTCAGATCTTTGAAACAGGATCAAGCACGGCTCGATGTTCTTAAGCTTCTTGATGAGAAGACGGTATTCATTGTCAATGATTGGGCAATGGAGTTTTTGCCCCAGGGATATCGAGAATCCCAGCAAGACTGGTTTGGAAAGCGTGGCATTTCGTGGCATATATCTGTTGTATACAGACGTAATTGTGGCAAACTACAGTGGCAGTGTTTCGTACACATCATCCAATCATGTAGCCAAGACAGTCCAGCAGTGGTTACCGTAATGGAGGATGGACTCAGAGCCTTGAAGCGAGAAATCCCGAAATCATAACAGCCTACTTTCAACAGGACAACGCAGGTTGTTATCACTCCGCGACAACAATCCTGTCCTGCCCCAACATAGCGAAAGAATCTGGAGTGAAGATACCCGCCTTGATTTCAGCGACCCCCAAGGTGGCAAAGGAGCAGCAGATCGTTTAGCAGCAACATGCAAAAACCATATTCGTGCTTATATAAATGAAGGCAATGATGTACTTACGGCAAAACAACTCAAGGAAGCCATTGTCTCACATGGAGGTATAAATGGCCTGCGCGTAGTTTCAATGGAGTCCATTGGAAACACACGTGAGTGTACCGAGAAAATCCCAAGCATCAGTAAGATGAACAACTACAAAGTCATGTCAATCGATAAAATCAAAGTCTGGCGTGCCTATAAATTGGGTAAAGGAAAGGTCATCAAAACTGCAAAACCGCCGGTCGGTAAGTTAACTAATTCATCAATTAATTAATTAGCTATTTCATTCATTCGTGCGTTCATTCATTCATTCATTCATTCATTTTGTTTTAGATTCTAATTACAACTTGTTGGAGTCAACCTTTTCATCTGCTGGATTCAAAACCGTTTCTCAAGAACAAGGTAAGACCCAGCATGAAAAAGATCATACTGCAGAGAAACGCACTGATGGGAGTAGCCAGAATAATATTCAAGCGGTCTACCCTTGTCCTCATGATGGATGTGTACGTATGTTCCAGAGACTTGGTAATCTGGAAAACCACCTATCGACTGATAAACGTACGCAAACTCTGGAGAAAGACACACTTTTAGATCTGGCAAAAATGGGCTACAAAAGTTCGTTGGAGGATGGTGCTGGTGTAAAACCAACTTTACAAGCAAGTAAAGCAGGCCATGAAGGTAGGAATGCTAGCCCCCTTGCTGAATGCTGGGCTCTTCGAACATCCAAGAAGACATACCGTTTCAGCGAGAAGCAAAAGGATTACCTTCTGGCCAAATTCGAAATAGGTGAATCAACTGGTAGAGAGGTCGATGCTAATCAGTAGCGTAGCCAGCCCGATGATTTAGTCCCGCTATGCAAATATTTTCGTATTCATTGACTGTGAAAACAATCAATTTCTAAAGAAATGAATAATAATAATAATTTTGAATTTCCATAGCAAGACTAAATTGTCGGGCTGGATACGCCACTGATGCTAATAATGTAGCCCAAGATATAAGACGTGTTCGCGATTCTGATGACGAAAGACTTTTTCAAGCGTCAGAGTTTTTAAGTTCTCAACAGATTACCTCTTATTTTTCCCGACTCGCAGCAAAGCGTCGAAAAGCGGCACCGACTGAATCCGACTTAATTGCTATTGAAGAAGAAATTGGCTTCACGAGGGCAAGAACCAGTGCAATGGAATCTATCGGCCTTGAGCACCCCATTGTCTATAGCCAATATAATGTTTTTGCCATGATAGAAAAGAACACTTTAAAAAACCTGAAACTTGGAATGTTACAAGTCGTCAGCGAGAAACTTTGTCTTCAAGTCCCAAGAAAGCAGCAAGAGCAAAAGCGCCAAATTTGAAACTACTGAACGACGCATTCAAAAGCTGCAGCTGTCAGTAGTAAGGAAAGTTGCTAGATTTAGCTTACAAAAACTCATTTGGTGCTAAGTACCTAATTAGTACTGAACGATACTAAAGTCCCGATCAAACGAGGATGAGAGTGCATGAGAGTTGCCAGTCATGCGTCTTTTTCCAACACCTTCATAAATTCTATTGAAGTTGAAACATTTCCGATCGGAACACTCATGAAATTTTAATTTTATTAATATAGAGTTTAAAATGTCGTCCGCAACAATGCGTAACTGAACAACTCTCAGTAACTGTCATTCTCGCTTTATCAGGGCTTAAATAGCGCATATTGTTGCTTACATGGGTCTACGGGGTTGTGTTTTATATCTCTCCACTCTTAAGAGCGTTTTCGATGAGCGTGATAGTGTATAGACCTCAAACGTAAAGCCAAATTGCATTGAAATACATGCATTTCTTAGCAACAGTCCATTAATGTAGATACAGCAAGCCTTTTTTGTGCACCAATAAGTTATTAAAAATAAGTTATTTTAAGCTTAAAAGCTTCCAACCCTGAATGATCCAACACCCAGGACACTACGGCAATTGATCAAATGCATTGGAGAAATGGCAGAAAATTTAACACTGCAGCGTAGACAGTAGAATTTCTTGTCCTCCCTTTTCTGTCCCATATTCGATTGACAATTTGAGATTATTAAATTTAAAGAGTTTCAGAGTTTTTGTAACATGTCTGTTCACACGTTCACAAATCAGTTTTGTGACCAAATACATAAAACTACAAATTTCTTCATGCTCTTATAATTTGCATATTAATGTAGGCGCTAGATGGTAGAATTTGGATGGCATTCAAATTCACTATTTCGTGCTTCACCACCTCCAAATAAACTTCGCTCCTCGATTGGCGTTTTACTTGTAGAAGCTCAATTTCGGTTTAGGTACACGAGGAGAGATATGCTTTAATGTGATGTCGCTCTCTTTTCGATTTGTTAGGTACCAGCGAAGTTATTTCAGTCCAAATTTCGTTACAAATTTGACAATCGATTGACCACAAAATAATGAGGGTTTTTATGGGGCTAAAAATATGTGTCGAGAAAACAGTTAATAAGAGTGCATTAGTACATATTAAAGATACAATATTAAGTTAGTTTCATGCAAAAGATGGTTTGAATTGGTGGTTTTCCATGAAGTGTTTCGATTAGTTCAGTGGGCTCTCAATTCGTGCATATTAATTGGGAATATACAACATTTTAATCGTATCTATCGAAAATTTTATAAAAATAAAATCGCATTGCGACTTTTTGATCATGTTTTCTGAAATAACTAACCAGAATGGTTCTTTTGGTGAAATAAAATCAAGTCCGATTTTTCGAAACTGTCACGAGTTTCTCGACCGTTACAGACATATGCTCTTAATAATAATATAAACTGCCGTCTAATTCCAAATACCCCGTAAACTTGCTATAATTCGATGTAATTATATCGTAGAAACATCAAATAAAGTTTAAACTAAAGTATACTAGGGATCCAAGGATAGTGTGAAGTTTCAAATTGAGAAAGACACTGCAAGAACTATATAGGGTCGCCGACAACCTAGAAAAGCTGATGGCTTACACTACGAAATAAACAGTGAACATAGGCATTTCATCTCATTATCTATTGTTCTTAATGCGTTCGGCACATGAGTAGCAAGACGTTCGAAACAAGCCTAACACACCAAAAACGTCGTGCGTCGTGGAAGTGATACAATTTATTTATTTATTATGATGCTAAACGCGGCAACTCGAAATTTAAATTATTTCACCAACAACCAAATTTTGCATACTCTAAAACTACATTTGCTTTGGGAGCTGTCGCTAAAAGCATCCCCACGAGGGTACTGATATGCTAAACTTATTTAAAACTATGATTATTCCTATGATCCTTTTAGCGCCTATATATATTGCACGACAGTTAATAGAATAGATGGTTTGGAAATTCATTAGAATAACAATATAACTCATCTATGTTAGGTCTACGTTTATTCATAAATCTGGCTCTTCACCGTCACGTGCGTATTGTATTTTTGCCGAAATAACCAATAGCAATGTTTTAGGAAAGTTAGCTATCCGTGACCAATCTCGTTCCCCGAGCCTGCGATCCTTGGGAAGGAACGCGAGGCTCTGGGATAATCCGTTGCCGGAAGCCAGGAATCCTGGCTAAGATTGAACTATAATTGAACAACGCATTCCAATTCAACGGCCAATCAGATTCTTCCCTGAAACGGATTATCCCAGAGCCTCGCGTTCCTTCCCGAGGATCGCAGGCTCGGGGAACGAGATTGATCCGTGACTCGAACAATAGGGTAAATTGGAAATTGCTATTGGTCGATTTGGCAAAAATACAATACACACGTGACGGTGAAGGGCCAGATTTATGAATAAACCTTGACTAACATAGATAATGAGTTATATTGTTATTCTAATGAGTTTCTGAAATAATCGACTACCAATAAATAGTCTTTTCCTTTATAATAAAGTATGTCCGCTGCAACGGTTGACCACGGCCTCTCTGGAATTTCCTGCGGCATCAATGGCTCTCTGGTTCCTTCGCTGGAAATGTAAACATGTTCTGCATTCTGAAACCATTTCATCAATTGCACTATTCATTCCAGGCCAGAATACTGAACCTCTCGCCCGTGCTTTGCACTTCTCCATTCCAAAATGAGCTGCATGTATACGATCCAGCATTTCTGGTCTAAGAACATGTGGAACAATTACACGATCTCCTTTAAACTTCAAGCCATCATAACCGCTTATTTCATCTCTTTAACTCCAATAAGGTCGAATTTCTAAGGGCGTTTCAGGCTTTCTCTGTGGCCAACCATCCATGACTACTCTGTGCAACTGCTGAAGTTCAGCATCCTTCTTGGTTTCCTCAACCAACTTCTCAAACAACTTCTCAGTGTCAGAAATCTGACCCGATTCCAGAATATTGACTTCAACTTCATCTGATGGATCGTTTATCCGTGCGCAAATCTGTGATCTAGAAAGAGCATCTGCTATCAACAACTGACTCCCAGGCGTATATTTCACTTTAATCGCATAAGGTTTAAGTCTGAGTATCATTCTCTGCAATCTAAGCGGAGCTTGATGGATGGATTTCTTCAGTATTGCTTCTAGCGGTTTATGGACAGTTTCCACGATTACTTCGCGTTGCCCGTATAGGTATTGATGGAAATGCTCACAACCATAAACTATTGCAAGCATTTCTTTTTCAATCTGTGAGTAGTTCTGCTGACATGAAGTTAACCCTTTCGACACATATGCTACTGGACGATCATTTTGAAGAAACACTGCACCCATACCTTTCGAGCTGGCATCAACCGACAGGCACACGGGTTCTTTCCGATCAAAGAATTTGAGGACTGGTGGATCGACAATTACTGCCTTTAAAGTTGTAAACGCTTTTTCTTGCTCTTGATCCCAAAACCATTCGACATTTTTCTCCAGCAACTGACATAATGGAGCTGTTATCTCTTCCATATTTGGAATGAACTTGGCCAAGAATCTCTTCAACTCTTCGCAATTTGTAAGCCGCGGCATCTCCTTAATCACTTCCATTTTCCGGGGGTCTGGTTTCAGTCCATCTGAACTCAAGACATGGCCAACATAACTTACTTCAGGGACACGAAGTACTCCAGAAGAGGTCTTATGCACGATTTGTAAAATTGAAGCAATTCCTTGGGTAAGATGGTTTTAATTGGGTAAGATGTTAAAGGCGTTTAAGGCATTTCTTGATCACTTCATTCATCACGTGGATGTTCCACTTAAAATCGTTAGCTATATGCAATGAATATCCCAAAACTTTCGTGTTTTGGACAATTTTCAGTGTAATGTTATTGATGGTAATTGATTGAAAGCCGTTAATATTAGATCCGAAGCAAATTCTCAATTCTTTGCACTTTGATTCGTTTAACTGGAACTTATCAGATGAAATGCTGTTCGCTAAATTGTCCATTTGGTTTTGCAAGTCACTTGTTTGATCTTTTCCAATTACTTCACTGACAGTGGTATCGTCCACGAATATCCACATTTCATTTTGCAACGTAAGGTAATTTATTGTAACCAGGAATAGCCAAGGCCACAACTTTGTCCCCTGCGGAACACCCGCAGACACAAGTCCCCACTCCGAGAAACAATCATATTTCAGCTTAACTCTTCGCTTTCCACCAGAGAGAAAATCCACGATCCAGTTTAAAACCCATTTCGGTATTTTTTTAAATTTTTTTTTATTATTCCAGGATTGTAACATACTGAGTAGAGCTATGGTTGTACTTGAGTTTGGGATTGCGCCATACTGATTAGAGTCTATCTTCTAGAGTACAGCTGGTTTAACATAGTTTTCCACGACAAATTCCTCAGCTACTTTTGATACGATCGCAGTAAGTGACATGGGCACAGAAGAAATAATACCAGAGGCCTCACTCGAGCGGAAACATGTTCCATCTTTTTTATTGCGCATGCACGAGCTAAGCAAGTGTAATGCAGTGTTGACAATAGAAAATTATATTGGGAAGTTGTCATTCCTACAGTAAAAACAGCTTTTTTTCAAGTAGTACGAAATGTGACTTCGATTTATCTGTGGAACTATTTGAACAGAAGGTAAAGCAGTAATTTTGTTGTATTTAGAAAGCAAACAGGGTCATATTTTTAAAAAAATAGCGCACTAAATATAAATTTGAGCATCATTAAAATGTGTTCGCTATGATGCCATTTTGTCTCCGGTATATACGAAGTACTGCTTTTATACTGGTGGATATTCGAATTTATTTTGCTCAAAAACACCATTACTTCAATATCCCTTTCTTGTTTTTCCTTGGATAGGTTTTAACAAGATAGAACTCTAGATCACTTGGGTCCAAAATAGAATATGTCTTGTGATTTAATACTACAAATAGAATGTCTTTTAAGTACAAACATCAATGAATTGATAAAGTGTAAGGATAGTGTTTAAAGTTGCTTCATGTGTAGAAGTTGAATTACTTCAGTTTATACACTGTAATGTCGATATCACATGTTGATATGACTTTAATACTATAGCAACTTGCAATAAGTGGTCTGTCCTGCTTGTTTATAATACTTTAGAGTTTTGACATTAGAACATTGTAATTGCCTGACAGAGACTGTTAGGGCCTGTTTGTATGGAAGCCGGGCTGGCCCGCTTAACAAGACAGACCGGTAAGGTAGATAAGCAGGATGATTTCTCTTGTGTTTATTTGAGAAAATTTCATCCCGCTTACCGGGACAATTTTGTTGTTTTGACAGTTATTAAAAATAGCTTGGGCAGTGTCGTTGAACTTTCATCCTGGCAACCGGGCTAGCCTGCTTGTGATTGTTTATATGCAGAAATTTCCATCCTGGTCTCTGCAACCGGGCCTCCCGTTTGAAAATAGAAACAATTTTAATTATAATTTTTACTATAAAAATAAGTAGACAGCGAGATCTCACTTTAAGTGCGAGTTTCGATATAAACAGGCCCTTAAAAGCTTCAAGTTTCCTTAAAGCAATATCGTCTATATCACAGAATACAGTTTCTGCAGTGACAAACTTTGTGTGTTTTCTGTCTTTAAAGTGTCTTATGTTTGTAATATTTTAGCCTGCCAGCAGGCTCTCTGGGTGAGAGCCTGCAAGGATCCCTATATTTACGTGCATGCGTCGAATATTTGGACGCAGAGCTCTGATTGGTTGATAACTAATTCAAATGAAGTGATTGACAAGCTTCCATAAAGTACACTTCCGGTTTGTAAAACCGAGCAACGCAAAGCTTCGGAATTGCGGCAATGTAGAGATTTGTATCCTTGTTGATTTTTTACTGTAAATTAATATGGTATTCATATAAAGACGAGTACTAAAAGCTTGCATGCTTTATTGTGTCCTGGGCTTGTCTGACTTCTAGGCTAAGAAAAGACTGAACAAATTTGCAAACCGAAACCTAGGGACAAGGCATTAAAATATCGCTTCTCCTTCATGAAAAAATGTTAAGAATTATATATTCTGATAATATTCAGTGCATATTGTTTGTATTAAGCTTGTTTTACAATGTTATAGTGACTATTTAATATTTATATGTACGCGGCGTTAAAATGTACCGTATGAGTAATTTACTCGTCACTTTGTTTACAATAATTATCACATGCATGTTTACTGTAATTCCACCTTTTGTTGCAAAATTTGAACTATAAACATTATTAAATTATGTCCAATGTCCGTAGTATATCATATATATCTACGTCTCAACAAAGCCATAAATTTCAGCAAGTTATATTAATATTACTATACTGTATATATATATTTATTGCAGCATGAAGCAATTCCAAACAACTGAATAAGTTAGCGGGTAATATACAACTTTAAACGTACTGTGCCTATAGAAACACATGCAGATTGTAATAAAAAGTACAACTTGATATATTACACTGTAGTTTTAACTTTTTTAATATGCCCCAGTGGAGGTCTGTATTCGAAACTAACGAAATAATAAAATATAAATGGAGTTCAACGTTTATCGGTTTATGTTTACAATATTGAATTGTATTTCCGGTCTGCGCTGATTGGTTGTTATTAATTGACCTGTGACATTCTAATTGAAGGGCGGCACGCAATTATCATAGGGATCCTTGCAGGCTCTCTTTCACCCAGAGAGCCTGCTCGCAGGCTAGTAATATTTTTGTACAATACCTTTTTCAAATTGTTGATACCGGTCTCATTGTAACTCAGTTATTCCTTCTCAAGAAAAATAAAAAAACAAAGCTGTGTGGGTGTGTTTTTGCTCTAGTTTTTACATCTACATGATTCATGTACAATTAATGTACATTTAAATTAGCTTTGTTCAATGAATACAGGTGTGATTCAAATATCATTCCTGTCTGGTACTTGGGTCAAATAGACATAAGCATACCAAATCATGCTATGAATTGAAATACAAGTATAGGGTGTGTATTGTTTAAATAAATATATTTTCCAGTTAACCCAGTAAGCTGCATTGTGCCCCAATGCACCTTACTTTACTAGTTTATTTCACTTCATCTAATGCCAGATGATTTTACTTATCGAGGGAGAGTGCTGCTGCTCATTGAGCTCTGATTGAGTTCACTGAGTGGCAGCACTTTCCCCTTGACGAGTGAAATTGTCTGGTGTTAGACAGAGTAAAATAATCTTGCGTTCAATAAAGTAGCTACTTTTTCAAAAGCTCAACCAGGCTAAAGATTCTTTGATTTGAAAACCAAAGTGATAGTGAACTAGTTACCGGTAGTTGAAACAAACAGAATTGTTTGATTTATTTACTTTCCATAACATTGACAATTAAAATTTAATTTGATACTTTTCCAGTATACATTCTTCATTGACATTATAGAGGTTCAGATTTGACTACCATTACCATTAAGGGACCATCAAATGCATTTGATATATTCGATCAACCATTATAACCAATCAGATGCATACTAAGGCAGTCAGAGATAGTGCTAGTAGAACTAAAATCTTAACCTCTACAATGAAAGTGCGAGTTTATTCATAAACTAATTATACGTAAATCAACTTTCATGCAATCATCTAGTTATGCACCAGTCAATGTAAATCCCTGCCTCCAACCGGGGAGGGGCGGGAGGTTTAGCGGGGAAAGTGGTCAGTTTTGATTATAAATTTGCCCCGATGATGGGAGACTTGGACGGTGGTTAATATATATATCCTGTGTTGCTGTTTTAGTTTTCTTGACAAGAAAAGTTTAAATACAACAACATAAATGAATTTGATTTTCTTTTGCTGATCTACGATTATACAAAACTATTTTCCCGGGGTTGAGAGACATGCAGGGGACATTGATGTCCCCGGGGGCGGGACAATTTTACTACCCCTCCAAGTCAAAATCCCTGCTCCTCCCTGGTTGGGGGGTTTACATTGACTGGTGCATTAATTAAAGAAGTGTCAGTGCCACATATGTAGTAAAAGCCAACTTGTCAGTAAAGGCCACAGAGCAAGATTGTATTTCAAAGATTACCAGTGACAAAAACAATTGATAGGCTGATAGCCCTGAAATAGAGTATGCCAACAGTTAGTATACTGCAAATAACTATTCTATCAACAAGATAATGTGTGTTTTTACAAATGATTTAATATATCAATCCAATGGCATGTAACCTAAAATTCAGCAGTGTCTGTGTAATGTAATACACCCCTTACTTCTCAATGGTCAAATTAACTATACTACATTGTGTATAATAATATATGGACTGGTTCAAAAATATATTGAATTTATAACTTATAAGTGTTGAACTGGTGAACTATTATTGATGTGGAGATTATGCCAAGTATATACAATGGCACAAGGATTTTCATGTTATCAGCATGATTAAATCGTGAGATTGTGCAAATAATCTGTTTAAAATCTCTTAGAGATATCCTCGGTAGCTACATTTTAAGGTAAAATGACTATGGTAAAGCTATTCAAGGAAAAAAAGCAATGGAACTGTCAACCTCGATGTAAACAGTAAATTTAACTAAATTTATGATCCATTTATTGCCGTATTTTAGCTGTGAATTCATTTAAGACAATGCAATACGATAGACTTACCTTTGAATTTATCATATATTCTTTTAAAATGGTCACCAAAGCTCCAAAACACGATTGGTATCGTTTTAACTTCCTCACTCCTTAATGTTTACATGTAAATTTGTCAAATTACACTTGTTTAGGGCACTGGAAACGAGACGCGGCCAAGATGCGCGAGGCGACATGCGCGGGGACATCAACATCAAAGATTCCGACATCGAGTGAGACTTCTGGTCTTATTATTTATTTTGTGGTAATACCATAGTTGCCTCGAAATCCTTTGTCTCGCGAGGTACGATTAATCACTAATTTACCTCATTACCCATGCATACGCTTTTGTCTTCTAAATTTCCCTCATCAAGCATGCAAGGGAAAATTAGAAGACAAAGAAATCCTTTGTTTTCAAATAAATTTCCCGGATAAATTTAGTTGAAAACAAAGGATTTCTTTGTCTTCTAATTTTCCCCTGCATGCTTGATGAGAGAAATTTAGAAGACAAAAGCGTACCTCATTACCTCTGATTGGAGAGCTGTACCTCATCGAAAATCATCGGCACAACTATGGACAGTATCTGACGACACCGTCCCGTACACATTCGAACAATCAGTTTGCCAGCTTTTATTCCCTAATCTTGAACATTTCAACCACAATGTTCGTACCACAATCATAAGACAATCAAACAGCATTCAAAACAGGCAACACACCACGCGCGATTCCCTCGGCAACTATGATATTACAAAGTAATAGCATGGCATTACGGTCAATTAGTGATGAAATATCCCTCAAGCCTCGAGAGGTTTAGTAAAAGTCCCTCGGCTCTACGCGCCTCGGGACTTTTACTAAACCTCTCTCGGCTTTCGGGTACATTTAATCACTAATCGCCCTGAATGCCATGCTATTACTTATAATACATTTCTAGTTATAATTTATGTGCGGGGTTTGCCTTGTTCGGGGACTTCGAGTCCGCTCGCCGATCCCATATCTAACTCGCCTTTGTTGTATTGTCTTTTGTTGCGTTCTCACATAGCATTGTAAATTTCGCGAATTTGATTAAATCTTATTATTATTATTACATTTTTTTGGATTTTTGACAGTAGCGCGCGTGTCCAGTAAACGAACATAATGTATTTTTAACAAGGTTTTAATTTTGGACAAAGTTCTGGCTGAATTTGGATGAAAAGCTAAGTCCCTCCCCCCTCCAAAAAAATCCCGATCAGGGTAAGACAGTAATATGAAGATTCCTGAATGTTGCCTAAAAGGCAAACTGAACAAAATGACCAACATTCATGTGATCAATGAAATATTCTTTACGTTATTAATTAAAACTAGGGAGCTTCATCACCTGTCAGCGTTTTCACAGTGGGCTAAACCGTCCTAAAAATAGACATGTGTCGTATATATCGTGGTTAAAAAGATTGAGATGTCGCCAGGCAGTTCGACTATGATAATTTGCCGGCGATTGTAGCCCTCGTACAAACTGAAACAATTTTTGGCAGAATTTTTTGTTGTCCAAATTCTTCCATTCGATGACAGAAAGTGCAGGAAATGGCATTTCCCAGCCTCAATTTTCACATTTTTTCCGGATACCTAGTTTTCAGCTCCTAACTTGAACTATCTTTCTGCTCTACTGCTGTGACAGCTCCTTCATGTTTTTGTGTTGTACTTGCACTTGGC